CCCATTCGGCCTCGGCCGGTTTGCAAATGGAGACACATACTGGACTTCGAAGTCACTTGTGGGGAGTTAAACCTCAAAGCTTAGTCTGTAAGACCCAACCATGCCCTGCACCCCCTCAACCTTCTGCCAGGCCCCCCAAATCAGAACACCTGCAGGATGCCTGCGATGGGAGGCATAGACCTGTGTGGGCCTTGCACTTGAACCCTGCCACCGTGACCTCCAGAGTCCCTGTGGCCCAGAGGGCTGGTGGGAGCACTGACAAGCCACTCCTGTTTGAGGGAGTGTGATCTAGACAATGTCTTACCCACTGGTTTTTCTCAGACAGCCCGTGTACTCTTTACGTGTTGCTCCTGCTCTGATGCGTCATGACCCCGAGACACAGGAGCTTCGGGTTACGACCCCATGAGATGTGATAGCGTAAAGTTATGGCAAGAAGTTGGCAAATCCTTACCGGGACAGACCACCAGCAGGCATTTAGATCCAAGTAAGGATATGCTAGCAACACACTTCAAGGAGGAGGCTGGTGCTGGGGTGGCCGGTGAGTCCAGAAGTCCCCTGAAACTGCTAGTGCGATGACAGAGCAGGTCAGAACCCCTAGCTCCTGTCCTCTTCACCCAGCCCAACTCAGAAAGAATGGGTCCGGTGGCGCCCCCCATGTCAGGGCCTGACGTGTCGGGGGTTTGCAGATTTCTGGACGCTTTCCCTGTCTCTGTGCTTACTACAGTTGCCTGGTGGGTTCAGCTGCTCTGGTCAGTGGTAAAGCCCCCACTATGCAAAAGGCTGGAGCGTTCGAAACCATGAGGAGGGTGGGGATGTTCTGCGTGGAGGAGTTAACAAGGAAATTGCAACAAGCTAAATAAACTCCCGGGGCCTTCAGGGAGGGACGGTGAGCAACCAAAGATGCCAGCCTGGAGCAGGGTTTAAGCAGCCTCCTGGCTTCCCCCCACTCCCTTCCACGCCAGAGCTGTCCTATTTTGTGAACAATTCAGAAGCAGCGGCTGCAAAGACACTCTTCACATCACCGGTTCCTGGCACCTAATAACCGAGGGGCGCGTGAGGCACGGCAGTCACCGTACCTGCTAGACCTGGTACCCCCGAGCCCGGTCACTGCCTGGCGAGGTCAAGGAGGATGCACTGACGCAGGGCCAGAGGAGGGGAGGAAGTTCTCCCACGACTCACTTTGTCTCCAGGAGGCACATGGGCCGGTATTAAGAGTCCTGTAATACAAATGGGGAAGTAGAGTCTCAGTAAGGCTAAGCACCTGTCCAAGTCCATCCACCTGAGTTGAACCAAATCCTTCACACGCAGGAGCGGTTCCTGATGACGGTCTGCTGCGGCTGCCCTGTGACCCGCGCGCGCGCACGTCTCGGGGCCGTGGCCTGTGCCCGTGACAATGGCAGAGGTGCCACTGCCGCCACATAGCAGCCTCTGGAATCGAGACGACGAAGCAGAAACAGCCCTAACCCTGCTCACTGTGCGCTCTTCCCCACCGGAATGGAGAGCGGGGACGCTCCCGGCACCACCGAGCCCCAAGCAGCGGGGTCCGCTGCCTGCCCACACCCCAGCCACGGGCACGGATGCCCTTTGCCCCCATGCGGTGAGCGCAGGGTCCGACGGTCAAAGGCAGGCTCTTGTCACGAAGTGTGTCCGGCTGTTCTGCCCTGGCCGCTTAGCATTTTGTCGTCATAGCACCTGGCGGGCGGTCCGTCATTTCTGGTTGAATTAATGCACACACGAGGAAGCGAGTGCAGTTGAATGAAGAAAACTGGCGGACGTAAAACACTTTCTACCTTTCACATCTCCTTTGCATCCGTATCCCATCTTATGCTTGGGATCCCCCTGTGAAGGTAGTATGGGAGCCCCCTGCTTTACAGATGGGGAAACTGAGGCCCAGGAAGATGACCGTCTCGGACAAGGTAACGGCAGAGCTAGGAACAGGATCCTAGCCCAGGGCTCCTACTTCCATCCTCCTTCCCTGCAGCGGCCGCCGACGAGCTAGCACCTGCAGCCGCCCGACCTGGTAGAGAGGGGAGTTTGCCCCAGAGCGCAGTGCGGCAGAGCCCCCGAATGCCCTGCTCACCCCCGGGAAAGCCTCCCCGCCGGGGAGCAGCCCCGCCCTCCCAAACAGGCCTCAGCACTTCCCCAAGTTAGAGCGCAACGTCCAGATGCGGACGAGAACTGGAAACTCCCTCCGTTATGTTCTGATTCTGACTCGCTCTGGGGGCGGCAGGCGGAGGAGGTGAGGCGCTCAAGGCTCGAGTCCCACCAACCCTAAAGACAAAAACTTCTCCTGCACCCCACAGCCGTTCACCCAACAAACAACTTTACTGCAGCGATCCTGAGCACCGGCTCCCAGCCCAGAGCCTTGTGGCCGGGAGTAGACGGGCAGCCTGGCTCTCCTGCCTCTCCTGCCTGCTGCCGTCTGTGGGGCCACCTGTGCTCCTACATAAGATGGGACAGCGGATGCAAAGGAGATGTGAAAAGTAGAAGGTGTTTTACATCTGCCAGCTTTCTTCACTCAACACTCGCTTCCAGGGCTCCTGTGCCCGCCGCTTCTTCACAGCACTCTCGCCTCCACCCCTCCTGCCCAGGTGCCGCTCCCTGCCGCACCCACAGTTCCACTTGGGCCTGCTTGTCCACCCTAGCCCTGCCCTTTAGTCCTGTCGCCTGTACCGCAGAGAGTCAAGTGCTGCCCTAGTGCCGAGGACGCCCAAGTCAACCCCCAGGAGGGAGCTCCCGCCAACCTGCACACCCAAGGCTTGCTGACATCCGCTCCTGGGAGCCAGGACCACCAAAACTTAGCACCTGCTGAATACACGCCCACGCCCTGCACCCCACCGCCCTCCTCTGCACACCATGGTAGGCAGCCGGTGGCCCTGAGCTGCCAGCCCCTGCGCAGGGCCCCAAGAGTGGGCTTCACCTCTCCCTTCCCCTCCGCTCGCTAGATCTACACGGCCGCCCAGGTGGGTCACTTCCGCCGCCCGGGCCCCTCAAAGCTGCTCCTCTGCTTCCTCCCAGGGCTGCTGTCACTGACCTCCTCCTCCTCCTTCCCGCATAGTGCAGCCACCTCGCCGGCCTGCTCCTGCCTGGCCCCCAAGGCCCTCCACGACCAGAGTCCCTCTCCCCCTCGGCCTCATCTCGCCAGGGGTTCCAAACTCTATGGATCCCAGGAGGCACGCCACCCTCTCCCCCTGCCGGCCTGCCCGCGTGTCTTCCCTCAGACTGATGTGCCCTTTCCCAGGAAGTCCCCTCCCCACAAACGCCCCCATCTAGGGACACTCACTGCTTGTCCTCCAACACTCAGCCCAAACCTCACCTCTGAGAAGCGGCCCTGAGCCCCTCCCCGCAATGCGTCCATGAGAGCCACTGCCACATTGTCACAGCGCTCACCGCCCTGCACTGGCAGCTGCACATGCACCTCTCCCCCCACTACACCCGGAGCCCTGCAGGGCCCCCGCTCTGCCCTTTGACTCTGTAAGCCTAGGCCCGGTGCCCTCGTGCCCACGGCCAGCCTCAGTGGCCAACTCAATGAAGTCAGTCCAGGGTGGTGGACTTGATGGAACAGAAAGCGCCCGCCAGGCACTGGACACGACGGCACGAGAAGTCAGGAGGAAAACACCAGCCCCTGACCAGCTGGAGAGAGACCAGACTCCCAATACCTCCCACAGTTGGAGGACTGAGGGAGACGCTTTACTTATCCAGCCAAACTCCTTATCCAGAAGGCACCGCCCGGAATGCCCAGGGCTCTTGCTGCAAGCCCTCGGTGCTGCCCTTCTGCCAGGGGCCTGAGTGCTGGCCAGGTGAGGGACAGGATCAACAGAGGCACTCCCAGCAGACAGAAGCACCCGCCCACTGCACAGCCAGATGCCGCCCGCCGCCAACTGGGGACAGGCCTGACCAAGGCTCCTGCTCAAGCGGGATGGGGCCAGAGCCAGGAACACCTGAGAAGGCAGGGAGGGCGGTGGGAGATGCAGGTGCCATTAGCAACCTCTTCTGTTTGACTGCAGGCCAACTAGGGTTAGGAGTAATGGACTTAACCTGACCTTGGTCTTTATATGATCTGGAGAAATGTAAATACGGAAACACACGCCAACTCTAAAGAAAAGCAAGCAGGTGCAGGGACTCCAACCACTCCTGGCAAAGTGTTGCCGTCCAGCCAGGAGCCCCAGGGGCTCCTCCCCTCCCCCCCCACCAGGTCCAGGCTGTCTCCTTGTTCCTGACCAGCAAAACCTGGATCTTAGCTTACAAAACCTGGAAGCGGCTCAGAGCTCGGCAGTCCCAAACTTTCGCAGAGGCCCGAGGAGGGAAAGGGACTCAGTGTGGATGACACGGCTGCCAGACTCCCAGGAAAAGCGCTTTGTACTGATGGAGCGCTCAGATCCTGGAAACACCTGCTGTCAGTCTTGGCCTCTCTCACCTCCACCCCTTCCCTTGGACCCCCAAAACAGAGGTTGCATTTTAACAAAAATAAAAGCAAGGTGCTAAGTGAGCTAAAGTATAATAATGGAATTTGAAGTACACACGAGCAGCCTCAGGGGACAGCCTGGTACCACACTGCTTTGTGCCGGGTCTGGCTGGCTGTGCTGTGCGCTCTGTCCTGGCCCCTGGCTTCCTCTCTCGGCCCTGCTCCGGGTCTGGCAGACGACAGGCGGAGGCAGGGCCAGCCTGCTCGCTGGAAGCCAGGGTGGGGCCCCGGGGCCCCTGAGCCCGGCTGTTCTCTGAAGCCTATTGAGGGGTGAGTCTGCATCTTACAGCACTTGCCCACAGCGACAGGGACAGGAAAGAGGAGCAGGCCTGAGATCTCGCCCTGCCTAAGGCCCACCCCGCCCCCGCCAGCAACATTAGCACCACCAACCCGGCTCCTGCACCAAGGTGGGGAGCCAGAGACAGGCCTCTGGTGCCCCCTGCTGTCTGGCACTCCCGTCCCACAGCCTGGAACATGGCACCAGGGAGTGTCACCAGCTAGATCTAAAGATCAGAACACACAGGGTCCGTCACAGTAACAGGCAATCCCCAAAGCGGCATGGCTCGTAACAACTGTGGTTGCTTTCACTGGACGGGCTCCGTGTCCATCACGCATGTCCTGGCCGTGTTGCTCCATGTTTCCTCTCTCCAGGATCCAGCTGAGGGAGCCGCCGCCACCATCTGGGAGGTTGGCGGCCATACTGACCAAGGACAAGAGGCTGAGGGCCTCACGTGGACGGGTTAGCCTTCCACTCACAGCTCATCCGCCAGACCTACCGCATGGCCCCGCCCCGCCAGAGCAAAAGGGGCGGGGTGTGCAAGCGGCATCACCAAGTGCCCGGAGTCGGGGAGCTGGGGTCCTGGGAGAGCACATGCATGATCACTCTGCCTCCACGTCTCCAAGCCCTCGGCTCGTTCTCCCTCCTGCAGGCAATACACTCATCCCTCCCCCAGGAGCGCAGCCTCGAGCCCCACCCCAACTCTCTCGTGCGGGATCTCAGCGTGGCATGTCGGGTGCGGGATCTCAGCGTGGCATGTCGGGTGGGGGATCTCAGCGTGGCATCGTGGGTGCAGGATCTCAGCGTGGCATGTCGGGTGCAGGATCTCAGCGTGGCATCGTGGGTGCAGGATCTCAGTGTGGCATGTCGGGTGCTCAGCGTGGCATGTTGGGCTGAGCAGTGAGGTGCAGGAATCCCTGTTTCACGCACAGATGTAGGGCCTCTCCATCCAGAGACCTACAACCTCAGAATTCCAATTATCTGCTTCCTGCTAAAATTCAATACTCGCTCATACAACCAGGGCAAGAGAATGGCAGTAACCACACCCAGCGGGAAAGCAGAAAAGCGGGAAATACACGCAGCAGACACTGCAGCCCTGCAACCCTGACGCCCCACACGGCAGACTTTAAGGTCGCTGCCCTAAGAGTGGGGCTTGTCCTAGATCCGGCAGTTGGCCACTCCCTGTGGGGACCTCTCCTTCCCATGGGCTGTCTTGTGCCTGCACTGCCAGCTCCCCCGACTGTCTGGCTTTCCGAGCTTCTCCCCACGCAGCACCTTGGGGTGCGGCTCCGCAATGGCCACCTCACTCCTGAGTCTCCTGAATCTCTGAGTGACGCCTGCTTAGGTCCCAGTTCAGATTCCAGAAACAGAGAGAGAGAGAGAGACTCTCAGCTGGCGCAGTTAATTATCAGGACACCACTCAGCAGCAGGTCTGTCCCGCTTACGGGCAGGCCTTCTCGAAACGGTGAAGCTGGAGAGACCCCGTGCTGCCTGCGCGTCCTGGGCTGGGGGAGGTTGCGGGGAAGGCAATGAATGACCGTTTTCTCTGCGACAAAGAGCTTGCAGTTGCCCATGAATGGGGTCTGAAGAAAATGCACAGCTTGTGATGAAGAAGTGAGGTTCGGTGCTTTCTTTACTCCTCTAACTCTCAGTTTCCTCATCTGTAAAGTGGGAACAATAATCTCTGTCCCTGGCCCGCTCCTTTGCTCACCCCTTTGGGCCCCGCCCACACGGTCCAAAGGAGTCCCGGAGCCCGGGTGCGGCTGCCCCACAGTCCAGGCGGACTGTTGCCTGCACCTCCAGGAATTCTTGCACTTGTGTAGACAACTCCCAGAGACAACAAAACCAAGGGGACACAGCTGTCACAGTGACACGTAAGGCAGCCAGAGACCAAAAGGGAAAATATGTTGGGAGGGGAGAGGGGAGAGGGCAGGGCACTCGAGGTCTGCTCAGACGTGAATTCTAATCTCTGTTGCTGACTCCGCTCCTCCTCTGTGGGAGGAATGAGTCAAGGCCTATCTTGAGTGGCAACTCTCGTTACCAGAATGCTCGGGTCATTTTTAGTGAAAAACTCCCATTTGAGGGCCGTGTGGGACCGTGCTGGGCAGTGCACACGACCGCCTCCCCGCCCACGATGCAGGCACAGCCCTGGCGACGGCAAAGCCATGGCAGTCCACATTTCTCAGCCCCGGGGAATGAAAGTGCTGGCTTAGGGTCTTTTGTGTTTGTTTTCTTGGTTTTTCTGTGGGTTTTTTTTTTTTTTTTTTTTTTTTTTTTTTTTTTTTGCTTGAAAAACTCTATCTTTCCTTCTACCCACCCGCCTCTGTAGCTGCTGGTCCGCGACGGTCTAAGCCCTGCGTGTGACTTATCTCATCATGTTCCCGCAGCTGCAGCCACATGTCAGGAGGGAGGTGGCACCGTCTGTGTGTCTTCGTGCTCAGAAGCCCCAGCACGGGTTTTGGTGACCAGGGGCGTTTCCCCATATGACAGCGCTGCCTCACCCACTGCCTCACCCACCTGGCCGCCCCCCACCTGCTGCCCTCTTCCCCTAGGACCCTCCTCCCGAGTTCCTCGAGGGTCTCGGTCAGTCGTGGGCGCTGAGAGGGCCATCCTCCGGGTCCCCACCCACCCTCGCTCCCTGACCCAAATCCGGCTTCCTTACCCTCTGTGCTTTGGGACTAGCTGCTTAGACTGGCTGCCAACTAGTCTCACTGTAACAAGCAAGGATTAGAGAAAGCAGAATTGCCCAACTCTAGGAACTTCCTTTCCCCCATCTCCTTTAGAACATATCAGAAAAAAAAAATGACAGTGAATGTTGGCGTAGTACTTTACAATCTACAAAGCATGGCCACATTTATTATTTCATGTGAAGCTACTATAGCCCCTAAAGGGTATTCTTACCACTTCTATTTCACTGAGGCAGGAACTGAGACTCAGAGGGGTTAAGTGACTTACCTGAGGTCACACAGCTGGAAAAAAAGGCTTCGTATTAAAGTCCAGGTATCCAGACCGCACACACCCTTTCTGCCTTAGCTGACGGTGTCTCTCCGCCCCCTCTGGCTGCCGGCTACAATCCTCATTCCCCAAGGGAGCACCTTTGATGGCAGAGTCAGCAAGAACAGACTTCAGGTGTAAGCCTCCCTCACTCGCCGGGAGGGGGGACAGAGGGTCACAGAGCATCCACGCAATGGGTTGCATCGGAGCTCAGTGAACTGTAAGAAGAGAAGAAAAATCATAATTTTAAAGCTTGTCCACATATGCACCCCTCCCTGGTCCTGGGAGTCTTTGGAGCAGCTGGGCTGGTTCTAATTTGCAAGTCCGGGCTGGGTGGTGCCCTGTCCCCTCACAGTGCCCGACCAGGGCTTCCCAGGGCCAATGTCTGCAGGTGTCTCCTCCTAGCACTGCTTTCCCGCTTTGCCACAGGTGTGCCCAGGATCCAAAGCTAGTTGTACCCCCTCTGTGCCTCAGTTTCTCTTTCTGTAAAATGGGTATAATCTCCACTTTCATGTCACTGCTCTCCAGTAGCAGTGAGGGGAGGGTGAGAGGGCATGTGTCCATGTTCCCCACAGGACATCAGTCCCTTTATAGAGGGAATATCTGAATAAAAATATAAGACTGAGAGTGGCCTCCATGCTTCCTAAGGACTCCAGAGGAGAAACTGATTCTCTGGCCACATTCTGGGCAGTTGGATTTTCTACATAACTAGAAGCCCCTTTGATTTCAGCTCTTGTGGCTACAGACCCTTCTGCCATTCCAGGAAGAGGCTCTCTGGGCCCCGCCTGGAGATGGCTTTGCAGCTGCAGATCCTGCCAGGCTGCAGGGCCACCCCGGCTACACAGGGTGACTGCAGCGTGAAGCCTGCCCAGCCCAGAGGGGCATTTGCAGATCAGTCCCTGGGAGTCATTTGGTGTCACTCCTTTCGTTCTTTGTCAAAGGAGTCAAGTTTGGTGACAATCCTATCATTCATTTTATCATGGCCGTAGGAAGGTGCGCGGGAACAAAGTATGCACAAACAGCTGCTTTGAGCCCCGTGGATAAATAGTCCTGGCCGCCATGGCCCAGCACCTCTGTCACTTTTGATAGAAAGCTCTCGAAGTCTCGGTTTCCCCACCCATAAAATGAAAGAGTTGCACTTTATTGTTTTAAGGTCCCTTCTAGAGCCAGTACTTGTTGGTATAAGAAAACAACAGATCTTTCAAGACATAGGGGGAAGAGCCCCCCCAGGTTGAGTGGGGGTGGACAGTGGGGCCTGGCTGGACCTCCTGCGTCTCCGTGCCCCACACTCCTGACTGTCGCTTGGGAGTCCCTAACCCGTAGCCTGCTCTGACGCTACTCACGAGGACACGGCTCCCACAGTGCCTACACCCCTCCCTGTAACCGGGCTTCGGCACTGCCATCCCCCGGCGACACGTGGCTTCCTGCGGGAGCTGCGGCTGTGCCAGCCAGGGCTCCCAGAGAAACAGAACAGTGGGCGACAGCATGCACACACACACACACACACACGCACTCTTACATGCATGTACACTTGTATGCATGTGTGTATGTACAGAGACACAGTCAGATTTATTTGAAGGCACCAGTTTGCACAGCTGTGGAGCTGGCACGTGCGAAGTCCACGGGGCAGCAGGCTGGACCCCCAGGCTGGGTTCTACGTTGCAGTCTTGAGGAGAAATTCCTCTTTTGGGGGGAAACCCTCAATCTTTGCTCTTACGGCCTTCAACTGATTGGCCGAGGCCCACTCATACTATGGAGGATAACCTGCTTTCCCGACTTAAGTGCTAACCTCATCTAAAAAATACCCCCGCCACAGTGTGTAGACGGGTGTTCGACAACAGGACCAGCCGCCGTAGCCTATGCGAGTTGCCGTGTGAAATTACCCATCACACTCCTTCCCGTTTGCCTTTGCGAGCCCACTGGGCACCTAGCGGGGACTGCCTGGCCCACAGGACCGGTCAGTTTTGAGAGGAGACATAATGGGAGGTCTTACGTGTGCCCTGGCGTGTCTTGATTTCTCTCCTCTCTTCATACCTTTTCGTTTTTAATAACCCAGGTTTTCTGGGCCCAAAGACTCAGCCTCACTCAGCACCATATCGGGCTCAAACCTTGACTGCGTCCAGGGCCCCGCAAAAAAGGGGCCGCCCTGGAAGGGCAAAAAAAACCTCCCCCCCCCCCCCCGAAAAACCCCGAAAAGGGCCCTCCCCCAGGCAGGCGCGCGGGAGAAAGCACACACGCAGGCTCAACACGCGTGGCCCCGGAGACCAGGAGCGTGATCACGCGACGCCCCGCGAAGGCCAGAGCCTCACGCGCCCTTCTGCATCAGAGAAGGGGAGCTGGAAGAAAGATGGCCATGTTTAGGGGCAGTACGTGATGTTTAGGGGGATGACCGGCCCAGTGCTCAGACAACGACTGGTGACTAAGTCCCTTTGAGAACTGACAATGATCTGGGACAAAGTTCATGTGAGCTGTAGGCGTGGTGTTTAATTTTCAGTCTCTTCCTCTGTTGTATGAGTTTCAATCTTCTCTGCTTAATGAGATTGGGGTGGGGGGGTCCGGGGCAATTTTGGTGCTCTGGGTGGGTGAGGGAACTTCAGAGGCCGCCTCACCTGTGCCTCGGGAGAGGCGGGACGCAGGGAGGGGAGGCGGAGAGGTCACACGGACCTTGAGGCGGCTGCTGCAGCTCGGGCGGCAAAGCGCCACACCTGGGGCGTCGTTTTCGGAGCCGGGACAGAGGCGATGGCCTGGGCTCGAGGCCAGGCTCTGCCGTGTGGCAGCAAGGAGTCGCGTCCCTGGTCCTAGCGGCGGCGCCACGTGGCGGGACGTGGAGGCTGCGCGGGGACCAGGCACACGCCGTGCCCCCGCGCGGTGCCTGCCGCGGAGGCGGCCTCCCGCCACTTCAGTAACGATGATTTTATTGCTTTTTTCCACACAATTAAAACTCACTAATTCAGACCTATCAAAGAGGGCAGTCAATGGCTGGAAAGTCCACATTAAAAAATAATTCTAAAATAATGTAGTTTTATTACTTTAAAATATATTGCTCAATCCAGGCTAATAAAGTTGCGCAGCGCGCCCTCGGGGATTTACGTTAATGAACAAATAAGGACAGTCTGAGGTTAGCCCGTCAGTTACTGGCGTGCAGAAGGGCGTCGCACAGAGTGCTGGCGAACGCCTCCACACGGCGCGCTGTCCTCCGTGCGTCAGCCGTTTCCCCTGCCATCCTGTCAACGCGCATGCTCAGTCCCCAGCTCCCGGGCCGAGGGCTGCAGGCCGAGCGTGCGGGACGGAGGGGTTTGCTGGGCGGGGACTGAGCGCCAGTTCACTCGGTCGTCACCCTGCACGCTCACTTTCCACACAAGCCTGTTTCGGGCGCCCACCTTGGCCTGTAGCTCCCAGACATGGAACTGCCTCTGTCAACAGCAAAGAGGCTGTACTTAGGAGCTCGGGCTCTGGACTCAGACACATCTGGGTTCAAATCCCAGCCCTGGCTCTTGCAAGCTGTGTGGCCTTGGGTAAGCCTCTTACCTTCTCTGAGGCGCAGTGAGTGGGGATAAGAGGACCTCCAGGACAGGTTTCCTATGGGATTAAGTTAGGTGGTACAGCTAAAGTCCCTGAAATACACGGAACAGCAGTGACCGGCAGGGACAGGGGCGGCCCTCCTGTAGTCAGGGCTGCGTCTCGAGAGCCAGAAAGGCCCGAGCGGGGCCCTAAGGAGGCTCTGGGGCGTGGGGGGCACTAAATTATTATTCTTGGTGCTGGACCAGGGCTTGGGGAGTGATGAAGTCGCCCATACGTAGACTATGATTTCAAGGCAGGAGCCCGGGAATTATTGTCATTATTATTATTAGCTGCAGAAATGACGATTTATGCTTTATGAGAGCCCTCCAGCTCCTCTCAAGAGCTCCACCGAGACACTTTATATTTGAGGAAGGTCACGCAAGGGCCACGGTGTTTGTTCCCCGGGGCATTCCGAGCCTGCGTGGGTTCACGTCAGAGAGCCACGTGCTCAGAATTGGCTCAGCCCCCGCAGGGAGGCTTCGCCTGGTGCAGGTCTGGGTGAAGCCGATTCCACTCGGCGTCGGGGTGGAGAACCCCCGTGGAAGGGGCCACTCGTGGCGATCCCGGGAACATGGCGTCAGCGCTCTAGGAAGCACTGAACTCGGGCAGGGGCTGGCTTTGCGATGGCCTGACTTCCCCCACTGCCGCCGGCGCGTGAGGTCAGACTGTTGCCCCCACCCCAATTTCTCAGAGGAGGGAGCAGAGTCCCAGAGGCAAGGGGCACCTGCTCAGTGTCACCAAGCTGGTTTGAGCACAGCGTGTCGGCCTCCAAAAGATGTTCTCGCCTAGACTGTCTCAGGTTAGACAAAGGCCCCCAGCCCTTCCCGGAGACCCCCAGGGCAAAGTTCTGTCACCTCCTTTGGATACCCCTAACAATTCACCTGCCTCTCTCTGAGCCCCCTCCCTCCCTTCCTTGAATTCCGGTCACACTCACATATGTCACAGCTCCCCCAGCAGGACAGGCACTGAATGTGGTCTGACTTTGACTCCGTGGGGCCCAACACAAGGCCTGGCCCTCAAGAAGGCACTTAATACACATATTTGTCTACCGAATTATTAATAATTATTTCCCACAGGGCCCTGGGAGACACTTTGTACATGTTCGCCTCTGCCAGATGACCCAACTGTAATCACGGCCACCTAAAAGTGGAAGGAGAGGCTGCACCGAGTTGGGGCAACCCCAGGGACTGGTGACATTCCCTGGGTCTCCCCCGCCAGCCCCGGTGTCACGCGCCAAGAAAGGAGGGGACACAGCCGTGGAACAGGATTCTGAACACCGTTTACTTGTGCCGGCCAAAATGTGTTTCCACTCCTTGCAATAAGAGAGGCTGAACGGAAGCCCTTCTCCAGGGAGCAGGCCCCAGTTCAGAAGGAGGGTCCTATGCGAACTGACTTTTCCTCGCTTTTTCCGGACCAAGACCCCCACCTGGGCGCCTTGCCTGCGGGTCCCAAGCAGAGGAGCAGGACCAGTGGTGTGACTGCCCCGCTTGACGCCCAGGACACATCTTTAAAAAAAAAAAAACTCAGCCCTCTTCTGTAAGACAAGAGTATTTTCTATAAAAATCATGCAATGAGCAATGATAACATGAGTACAGTGGCATTTCTTCAGAATTTTCATTAGTGGCACATGATTTTAATGGCATTCCATATTTTTAAACACATTCAGGCGTTGTTTCAATTGCCTCTTCTTTTACTCCTTTCATTTTTTGTTGGTAAGCACCGCTAAGTTCATGTTGGTACAGGTGCCCCACTTCAAATTTCTTTAGAAATTCAGAAGAATTATGAAAAAAATTGCTGGTTTCACAATAGTGCAAGGCACTGCAAGTTACTCCAAGTTCCTACAGAACCACAAAGCACAATTATTTACACAAGTGTTTTCAGATACACCTATCAGTTTGAACTTTGATCCTTTGGTTACAGTATGATATAATAATAATTTATGTAAATAATTATCCAATAACCAATGAGAGGATTTTAATAAACACAAAATGTCAGCAAAAGGTATGATTTATTAATAAATTCATTGTCTGGATTATGTTGTCACTTTAAAACAAAAAGTAAGTTTCAATTTTAAAAGCGTTATTGGAATTCAGTAAAACGTTTCAAGCATGAACTAAATTAGACGCTTACTAAACAAGAATATTATGCTTCACAGTTCACACTCTGTTTCATTCTTTTAAATTTTAAATAAAAATGAACTCCAATGGTCACCCAGAATGGCTTAGGTAACTCGACTTACTTTTTTCATCTTTTACAATCACTGTGCTATCATTGCTCCTTCTGAATCTACAATTTAAATGCAAGCATATGTCAGACTAGATACCAGACACAAACTGTACCCCAAAAGAATATGATTTTAGACATTGCACCCCACCTAAAGGTACAGTTCTTTTCCCTGAGAAAGTTACTGTCGAAATGAACGCCTACAGGTGGGTCTGTCTTTCAGGAGCCAATTCTATAACTAGTAGTTCTCCAAAGTCACTTCCATGCAAAATGAAATGTTTATTAAAGGATAAGTAATAAAACTGTCCTAACGTGAAACTTATATATTTATTATCATTAAGCTCCGCAGTACTACAACAATTGTCTACACTTTGGGCCAAGGAAAGATTTTTCATAGAGGAGAATCTTCCCACTGCCATTGTTTACAAATGCCAGTGTATGATGGCAGTGAAAGCACTCAGGTTCCATTCAAACTTGCTGTTTTTTTAAGACTTCTCTACACCTGCTCACTGCCTGTACAGGGGGGACCACTGCCACCTCCCCACCCTTAGCATACAGGTCAAGACACCCTAAATGAAGCCCCCAAAGGTGTCCTTCAGAGCTGGCTAACAGGAAACATGGAGTGTTTTTCCTTCATAGACAACGAGAAGCAGGTGACTGATTATGTTGCACTTGTTGCTTTGCACAAAGCCGTATTTATAGCTCACCCTGTGGGATCTTCTGGCTTTTAAATTTCTCCCCTTGGTGTCAGCCTAAAGTATACCTTTCCTTTCCCAATTTGCAGCTAACTCGGTCTTTCAAAGGCTTCTAAATGACCTTCCACGGTCTAATTAACTTATAGAATCCTTTCGTTTAATTTATTTTCTTTTGAATTGCAGTGGCTTTAGGTGGGCACAAAACTTCCAGTTGACCCCAGTCCCCACCACTCCCCAAGCACTGCCCTGGGGACTATTTCTTTCCTATCCACTCTGTTGCTTAGACCCTGAAAGCATTTGCGTTTTCAACCCATGTATGTTTTTTCCTGTTTGGAGATTCTTGTAAGCCACCTGAACTCCCTTCTGGAGTGCATGGGGACTCGGTCCAGTTCAGTTTGGTGTAAGTGCCACAACGGTGACCACGGGTGCCAGGGCACTCACGTTAGCCGGTGCCGACTTTGTGCCCAGCACTGCACCAAGCTCCTCTGCGTCCTCTCATTTAACCCCTCCGCAACCTGGAGAGGAAGGTGTCTGCCTCGTTTCTTAGGAGGGATCAGAGGCTCCAAGGAGTTAAGTGCCCCGTCCCAGGTCACACAGCCTCTCGGTGACAGAACCAGGATGGAGACCCAGGTGTGTCTGGGCCCCGAGGCATGAGGGAGGAGGCCTGCTGGAGTTCTCTGCAGGGGAGCAGCAAGGCCCCGTGGAGGAAGTCACCTGCCACCGTCCTGCTTCCCTGCTTGGGCTCCGCACACAGCTCCGGCAAGACATCACTGGGAGGCTGGGTGACACCTGCCACCAGGCCACTTCTAGGCAACCTGAACAGCCTCTCAGGCCTTGTCCTCAAAGGAACACGTGCCCGGTTTCATGCTCTGCTGTGGCCATCTTGAAATTCTTAATCATTTTTGAACAAGGCGGTCATAGAATTTCATTCTTATACCGGGCCCTGCATATTCTGTGCTCTGTCCCGATCCCAGGGCTGTGGGGTTCTTGGAAGGACAGGACGGATGCAAGAAGTGAAAGGAGTGTGCACACTGTGTAGAGTCTCCACAGTTCTAAAGGATGAGGACTTCTGTCTCAACCTCCCTACCCCAGTGCCCGCCAGCCAGGACCCTGGCAAACTGAGGCCTTTGGGGTTCTCTTGGCCCTCTTTCTACCCCTGTTCCCTTTGCCCCCTCTGGTGGCCACATACGACCAGAGGTCACCACACAGCCAGTCACCCCTCCCAAAGACACCGTCTTCCTTTATACACCCCCCCAACAACCGCCCCTCGCCCCAGCCCCCGACCCAGAAGGGGTTCTGGGACAGAGAG